CACTGAACCCCCACATGTTCCAAGCAACAGCTCCATGCGGCATGGCTTCATGTGCCTTTGAAGACCTCTCTGCTATTGCCTGCAGTTGGCAGAGCTGGACACCGGCTGTGAGATGTCTGCAAGGTCTTGTCCTGATGGGAGAGGATGGCCACTCAGCGGTCAAGCTTTTGCATTGTATGTGAAAGCTTCCAGGTTAATCTCCAGGCATCTCCAGGAAGAACTAGGTAGAACCTCCAGAGAGGTGTTGCTAGTAAATGTAATCAGCACTGATTCACAGTGTGATCCTAGAATAAGGCAGGGGTTATTTTGGAGAAGAAGGATGGGGTCAGATCCAGACTTCTGCTGTCTCTACCAGGCTGTGGTCCTCCATTGTAGATGAGGAAGGGAGCAAGTTGGGGTTTGGTTGAGATCTGTTTGCTTTGGTCGTAGAAACATCCAGTTGGAAGGGGCCTAGTAGGCCACTGGGTCCAACCACCTGGGCAATGCATATCTCAAGTCACCCACCCAGATTTCAACCAGGCTTGACCCTGCTTAGCTTCCAAGCTTAGGAAGGATCAGGCACTTCAGGCTACATGGAAGTGGTGTGTAGTGTGCCATGCAAGACAACATGGTTTCCTCCATCTCATTCTAGGCCAGCCCTTTCCCTGCATCCTGTCTTGCACCATGTTCCTCTTTTAACTGTGGTTTGAACTTTTGATTCTTGGCACATGCTCACTAGACAAGGCACTTGGGTGTTTAAAGGGGTTCACTTTCTCTCAAAAATTGCAGATCTCATCTACATCAATGTTGGTTTACTGGAAAAATGCAGCCCATGTCTGAGGTTCAGACCATGCCACATTGCTCTTTTAAAAGGGAACCAAGGTGGAAATAAGTTGGAGAGACTGGAAGGGGGTAACTTAGCTCCCCCCCCATCATTTTACTGGTTCATCAGTACACATCCTCTGGGTACACACACTTATCTACTTATCTCCAACAAGAAGCAGTGAATAATATCCAGTTTATTAGACTCAACTTTCACAAAAAGAATCTTGAGTCATCAAATTTCAGTGCAGTGGTTAGGTTGTTGGACTTGGACTGCAAAGATCTGAGGTTGCATCAGAAAAGGAAAGAGAAGGGCACTACTTGTCCCCAGAAAGCCTAAGCCCACAGAGAGTTTTCAGGAGTTTCCTGGGTGAAGCCATTGATCTCCAAGCAGACAAACCCATTTTAGCACTCCTCATGACCATCAGGAGTAGGTCCTTTCTAAAGCAAATGGGTCTTCAACACCAGTTCAGTTCAGGACCAAACTGCCCTATAGCACATTGCATTGGAACAGAGAGAGCCATTGCAAGAGTGTACTGTTGCTGGGAAATCCATGTTTGCCTACCTCTTGAGAAGACTGCAGCTAAGCTCAGAAGCGACAAGGAAGCCCAAGGGGGGAGTAAGGGAGATGACACACTGATCGCTCCCAGCATGGCAATCCTGTGAGTCCTAGCTCCACTGCACCAGGGAATGTGTGTCCACCCAGAGCTTCTCCACGAACTTCCTTGATGGAGTACCTTCAGGCAGTTCTAGAGCAATGTGCAAATCCAAAGGTGTGTGCCAAGATCTTCTGTGAGGCTGCAAGGTTTCAGGGATCCCAGTGACCTAAAGGCCAAGCGGCTCCCTTTCTCCTTGCAAGGAGGGAGAGCTATAACAGGGCTCTGCTTGGAATCAGACTTGCTGTGTTTAAGATCTCACAGGAGTAAACAGTATTGTATTTGTACAGAATGTCTCCAAAGTGGCTATTCTGTTGGCTTTGTTCTTCCTTGTTTACACTGATTTTCACAGATTTCTGCAGGGAAAGGCTGCACTGCACCCAAAGCAACTGTCCATGGAGGACACTGTGGACTTGTTTGGTATGAATTCCTGCTTGCTTTCTACCAACCAGCCTCTTCTGGGAAGGATAATTCTGCCTTGGTGTGAATGATCAGCCACATGTGATTGCAAAAGTAGAACAGGTTACCCCCGACACCAGGAGAGTATCTGTTGCATCTCTTGAGGGCTGTGACTCATACAGGGATGCAGGGGGCACCCCCTGGGATGCATTTTCAGACTCTACCAAGCAACCTTTTTACCAGTGCAGGAATGAAAAGCAAAAGGGAAGGAATACAAGTCAGAAAGTCAGAATAAAAGTTGGAATTCAGGCACGGACAAGTTTTTCATAGCTTTGCTAACATCCCTGACTGTTGAAGCTCAGTCCTGCTTTTTAGCTGAGTGCCTCTAGAGGGGTTTATTGCCCCCTTTAATTCAGAGACCTCCAAATAACCTCAAAAACCAAGGAGTCCATAATGCCGCCTGATATTCCTGGTCCTGGAATCTTAGTCCTGCTGATGGAGCAGCATCCCGAAGGCATAGGCCAGCTTAGGTAGGTCCCATGGAAAATACAGATCTGTCTGCCAACATTTTGCATCAATCCTTACCTGTCCCCCCACAGTGGGGGGGATCCACCACTCAAGGAGGTCACTAATGGTAGACTGGAACCATCCACACATTCCCCACCTCTCTGTGAGTGTGTGCAAACCAAAGGCTCTGCTCTGCTTCTGTTGCCTCAAACACGAAGTGCCCCCAGAATTCCAGCTGCACATGGGAGAAGGAGTGGAGCAGGTAGTACAGCCAGCTTTGCCCCTTCACCAGCTGGAGGATGCACAGTATATTTTGCAGCATCAACCATCATCTCCTAATGATGTTTGGAGATAATGACGGGATTCCTCTTCCTGACCTTCCTAAACCCCCAGGAACCTCCAGGAGACTTGGGGAGAGCATAGGGATATAATTCCCCCATCTTTCCAAACAAGGATTGAAGATAGATTCCTGCTCCTTTCCCAAACCCTGGGGAGAAGGCTTGGGATGGAAACCATGGAGGGAGCCAAAGCCTTAATGAGCTGGACGGGGCACATCTCCAATTTGGCTAGGCCTGTAGGCTGCAGATCCTGCACTTCTGATACACGATAGCCTTTTTATCCCACTGTTCTGATGTGGCCATTTGTCATTCTAGAGCAGAGCCCTACTCCATCCCCAAATGAGAGCACCTGTTTCCCTTCCCTTCCCTTCCCCTCCCGTCCCCGTCCCGTCCAGGCCCCTCCTGTCCCTTCCACTCCCTTGCACCACCTGCTGGCCAGCAAATGAAACACCGTTTCCCTTGCCTTCCCACTCCATCTAAGCCTCTGGCAGGCTGCCTGCCACTGTGTCAAATGTTGAAAAGCTGCTTCGTGGAAGAAGAGAGAAGTGGTTAGTGGTCTTACCTATTTCACCAAAGAACATTGATCGCAGAAGCAGTGGCTTTGGCTTTCGTAAAATCTGTTCCTTTTACATCTATGGACCGCCAGGCAGCTTTCCTTACATCATATGCTCAGTGATGGAATCTGATTTTGACCAAATTGCACACCCATTTGCCAAATTCACACACAAATTTGCACTAAAAATGTGAAATCTTCTTCAAATATGCAAGTCCCTGAAAAATGCATATTTTTACACTGGGCCCTATAGGGAAAATACATGCTTTACTTGTTGTTTTCTGTGGAAGGATTTTTCTGTCTATATTTGCATAAAATTACACATTTTTTAAAAACAGTCCATTAAAAAAAGTCCACACAACTCAAGAAAAGCAGAATCTGCAGCTCAGAGTTTCTGAAATTTGAACTTATCTGGGTCCATTGCAGGTTCCTTCAACATCTCTACTTCAGCTAGCAAGAGAAGTGACAAATAACACCTAAAAACCTAAAAATGTAACCTGCAGTCATTTAAGATTCCAGGCAGCCCTGCCCTGCTTTCTCCTTGGATATTCCACGGTAGTCTCCCATCTCCAGTTTTCCAGTCCTGTGCTCCGAACAGCATTCAGTAATGGCTGAATATATTCATTCCTCATTGTGTTTTTATATATTCACTATCCTCCCTCTTTTAGGGGTTTTCTACTAAAACATTTTATACTCCTTAAGACATCTTCAGATTTCCTCCCCAAGTCTGCCAATGCCTCCTCCTTGTGTGTGAATTGTTCCACTTTGGTTACATTAAGACCCAAACTCAGAGAATGAGTTGAAGTTCTAAAGGACAAAGAGAAATCTGCAGCAAACATAGAAACAGAGTGAGGCAGAAGGGTCCTCCCTGGCCATCTAGTCTGACCCCTGGCTCCAGCTGGCTCCAGTCTCGACATGCCCACCATGTGGACGTCCAGCCTATCCTTGAGCACCTGCACCGGTGGGGCCTCAACTACCTCCTGTGGAAGCCCACTCCATGCCCTCGGGGTCCTAACTCTCAGGAAGTACTTCCTGGCATCCAAATTGAACCTTGGTTCCCTGAGCTTTGCTCTGTTGAAGCGCATCCTGCCCTCCTCTGCAGGGGAAAACAGGTCTCTACCCACCTCCATGTGACACCCACTCACATACTGGATCCCCTTTGAGTCTCCTTTTCTCCAGGCTGAAGAGACCCAGTTCCCTCAGTCTCGCCTCATACGGCTTTCCCTGCAAACTGGCCACCAACCTTGTGGCCCTATGTGCAAAGTGTTGTAGGTGAAGTCCTCCATTCCATTGCCACTCATGGTTTCCTCCCAACAATCAATCCACATTTCAGGGCTACTAAAGATAACCTTCATTAGGCTGCTTTTAGGTCACTCTCTGGGTTCTTTTTTGTCCTGAACGATTTTCCTTTTTTGATACTTTTGCAAGACTGGCTTTCCCATAAATCTGCTGAAGACTCCTTCTTGTGTGAGTGGTGAAGTTTTTTGAGTACAGCTCCCAAGAGAATTGGGATTGTTATTCATATAAAGATGTTTTCCCTGATCTCAGTGCAGGGGAGGTGTTGGTATACCAGGATACAGGGAATACCCTTCCAACATGCTTTTACAGTTACGCAGATTAGTCCACACTAAAGATCGCATTCTTGTGCATGTTTAGGCACATCCTAAAAGTTTCTTATGCATGTCTGATTACTACCAGCACACATTTTAAACACTTCCTATAACACAGAACTCTGTCGATGCATTATTCCATATAAAGAATGTGGTTTTATTGAAATGGAATGTTCACTGGAAGTGAGTAATCTAGATATAAAAAAATACTCATATTAAATTTATACTCAAAGCCAGCCATGAAGGGGCAAACTATGATTTACATTGCAGAACAATGTACAAAGTCCACAATAAACCTCTCTTTCTTGCCAAATGCCCATTAAGTGAAGCAATTGTTTCAAGCAGACTCAAAGACAAGGTTTTTTTAAACCACCCCACCCATCAATCTTTTCAATCTTCTGCCACCGTCTTCTACCCTTGGGGGCTTCTATGGTTCATATGCTTTTGAGGTTAGCTGCAGTACATTCTAAAAGCAGTGGAAAAGCACTGGGTAATAAATGAGCCCATCTCCCAGAAGGCAAAGGTACAGATAAGAAAGATGTTTTAGCGGGAACGTGAATGGTAGAATCATTATGCAACATCTTTTCCTCCTTTCCTTTTCTCTTTGCCTTATCTGAAAAACATTTGGACGGTTCTAGTTTTTTTGTAGCAGTATGATTAGAACAAAATAAAAGCTCCAAAGACAGTTGCAAACCTCCACTAAATCAGAAAATGTGACAAAAGAAGGTAGGAGAGGCCAAGATACTGTGCCTATGATAAGTCCAATAATCCTACTTTCACTTTAGAAATATAGTGAAACAAATGAAACTCTATATGTCCTCAGTATCTTCTTATTTGTTACAAGTAGACTCTACCTTTCAAGCAGAGCCAGAGTTTGAACAACCCAAGTTTAGCCTCCCATGGTTCATTGCAGCATACAGAAAAAGGGAAGCTGGTCCTTTCAGACAAGAGATATGTGAAGAAGCTCTGTAGAGAGAGACCATTTCTACTACACGGTATGAAATCAAACAAAATGGTATGCAGAATCCACATCTCCTGACAATGGGCTTTAAGGTGACTTGAGAGCCTTTGAAACATCTTTTTCCAGACCTGATGACCCATCTGTAGGGGTAGTAGATGTGGTTAAGAACTCAAGAGTCCCATTATTCAAGGTTTCAGCTTTGGCTTCTCCATGGCGTTGAAGATCCCGGATGGTCCCCATCCTGCTGCTGGAGACTTCTGAGGCTGTTCCTTCAAATAGTTTGGCCATAAATCCTAATCCGGCTGATCGGATAAAGGAGCTGCCACTGAAGGCATAAAGGATGGGGTTGATGCTACTGCTGAAGAAGGCAAGAGCAACCAAAGAAGGCCTAGCCATCTTCCCTGCTATTCTGACCTTTTCAGAGCCACTCAACACAGCAGCCACGTCCAGAAGGTTGACCACGTGGTAAGGAAGCCAAAAAAGGGCAAAGGCTATGATAATGAGACAGATGAGCCGGCCAGTCCTGCGCTTCCGCCGAAAACGTGTCTCCTTTAGCCGCTGGCTGATATTCCCGTAGCTACCGAGGATAGCAATAAAAGGCAACACGAATCCAGTGATGGTTTCAGAGAGGTTCAGGAAGAGCACGTCTTTGGGTGTGGGGGGAAAGCGGTCGCAAATAGGCTTTCCTTTCTTCATCTGCACTGTTCGGTAGATGAGTACAGGAATAGCTAAGAAAAACCCAGTGACCCAAATAGCCATGACCAACAACCGTATGCTACGTCTGGTGCGGATCTTCTGCGAGATGAAGGGCCTGGAGATGGCAAGGCAGCGGTCTAGACTCATGAGGGCAATGAGGAAGACGCTGGTGTACATGCTGACCCCGCAAATGTAATTGCAAACCTTACAGATGACTTCACCAAATTCCCATTTCCCAGCACTGAGAAAGCGCAGGTATATGGGTGCTGTAATCATGACGGCCAGGTCAGCTATGGCCAAGTGAAGGATGAGCAGGCAGGTGACTGTCCTCTTGCGGACACGGCAGCTAGCACTCCACAGGACAAAGGCATTGCCCGGGAAACCTATCAGAAAGGCCAGCGAGAGGACAGCTATGCCGATGGATGCTCCTGGCACTGATGACACCGTTGTGGAGTTCTGGTTTCCTTGAGAAGCATTCATGATCCTGCTGGATGCTGTGAGATCCTGGAGTGGGAAAAGGGAATGAGAGAGGGATCAATGTATTCAGTGCATTCCCTCTGCTGTCATATCTCAAGGTCAGGGCTCATTCTACAGTATGCTGAGGTTCAGTCCTGCATGGAGAAAACCTTGACGCAGTGTGGAACAAGAAGGAAGCTCTGCTCTGGAAAGAAGCCTGCAGAGAAAAGCATTTCGGGGAACTTCACCATGCTTTGCAGGAGGAAGTGAGAAAAAAGCAGGAAGCACAACAGCAAGGTTCCTGCCCATCTCCTAGTATGGCACCCAGATTTATTTTCTTCCCTGCCCTCTGCCTTAATCAGAGCTTGTTTATACACTTCTGGCTCTTTGGTTGGCGTGTCTGTATCCCTGAGAACTAGAGGGCTGGTGGGTGAGAATTGGGAGAAGAGGCCCTGATCCAGGTCAAAGATCCCTGGCCAAAATACAGCTGGTTTGTTTGCAGGTTTCAGAGGCTTATTCCTTGTCATGGCTAAGGACCACCATGTTAATTTCCCAGAATGCTTCAGTGCAATGCTCCATCAGGACTATCGTGGAAAATTTAAAAGCCTGTCAGTCAGCCAGCTGGTACCTCTCTTGGGAGAGGAACAGAAAAAATAAAATAAGTGGCTGCAGCAGGCAATGGTGGTTTCTGACAGCGGAGTGAACATGGTCACAGCCCAAGGCTGTCAGAAGCTCATGTTGGGTGTGAGGCAGAACAAATGTTGAGATGCACATTTTGCGCCCAATGCTAAAAGATCTACTTGTGCAGTACTCTGGCAGACACTGTGGACACCTGGAGGTTTCTGTCCTGAGCCCTTCATTTGATGAATCTGGGTTTCCACCACCCCTCTTGGGTTTCAGGAGTGTGTGAGATTTAGGCACTTAGCATAGATTCACCTTCAGCTCCTGGAAAAGCCAAATCTCAGTGCTTGCTGTGTCAGAGATGTTATGTTCTACTGCAGCCATGGTGACCTGGTGTCCTCCAGATTTTGGGGACTACAACACCAATCACGCCCCCCGCCCTTGGCCTACCATGCAGGGCAAAAAATCCAGGCTTTCCTGATTGTCAAAGAGGAAGTTTCTCTGAATCAAGAGTTGCATCTAATGATTCCTCACACTAAGAGCACAGAGACTTCTAGTTCTTGTAGTTTTGTGGAGCAACTTTAATGCAGTTGTTACACAAACTATGGGGTAACCATCTAGAAATGTAGGAACAGAGGAAGCAAATGCCGACATGTGTGTGTAAGGACCGCACATTGCTCATCCTTTCAAAATCTACCAAGCAACTTCAGATGGAATTTTCTGGTCGGAGTTGAGCTCATTCTCCTTCTCTCTCTCTCATTCTCCTTCTCTCTCTCTCCCTTCTTCTCTCTCTCTGCTTCTCCCTCCCTCCCTCATTTGTCCTGCACACTGGAGGCAAGAGCAGGCACACTATGAACCTTAATGTAGTTTTGCAACAATGATACTTCTATTCCACCACACATAGTTTTTTTCCAGATAAGGGTGCTTTACATGTTTCACAACATAACCTAAGTGATGGTGGATGAATGCCACCCATACCTGATCCAGGATGTGAATCCAGGGCTAGTGTGAGTGGGAGGAAGTGCCGATGGCAGTGCTTCTAGGATCCACCTACTTGAATTTATGAGCCAACTCTAACTTTGTTCAGCGTGGCATGCAAGGGGTGGGATGTGGGTCACCTCATCTATCTCGAGATAAGTCATATATTCTGTGGTTCTGCTTACATCCTCTGGCATCTACTGGAAGCCCAGGCAAAGCTCAGCTCAATGTTTTGCATATACCTGCATCTTTCTGTGCAGCCAGATATTCAGGGCAGGCTCACCCACTCCCACCAAAGCATGAATGGAACTAGGCCTTTGTGGCACAGCCCTACATTCAAGCTGACTGCACTAGAACCAGTCATAAAACAAATGCCCTGACGTATTCCCATCACAGAAGCACCCCTTTCCAGCATACAAACTCATTTTGAATTAGGTGCATGGGCTTGCAGAGAAAAGGGCTAGTGTGTCATCTTTCTCCTCCCTACCTACCCTTTGTTCCCTTTGTGTTGTGCCTTTTTATACTGTAAATGCGTAGACAGACATGTCTTGTTTAACTCATTATGAGAAGCTCTAGGAACCTTTTCCCTCTTCTCGCCTCTTCTCACCTCACATCGCCACACCTAGCCCTAGCCCTAGCCCTAGCCCTAGCCCTAGCCCTAGCCCTAGCCCTGCCCTGCCCTGCCCTGACTTTCCTTTCCTTTCCTTTCCTTTCCTTTCCTTTCCTTTCCTTTCCTTTCCTTTCCTTTCCTTTCCTTTCCTTTCCTTTCCTTTTTCCTTTCCTTTCCTTTCCTTTCCTTTCCTTTCCTTTCCAAATAAATTGGCTGAGGTTAAAACTTTTCAAATAAATAAATAAACCAATAAGAAATAAGGTACTTCTGATTCTTCTTCTTCTGCATATGCTAATTTGCTCAAAAGCATGCAGATGTGGCATGGGAGGAGGTACCAGTGTTGTAATGCTATTGAAATAGCCTGAATTTTGCAGATATCTTCTGTTTTTCTTTCTGTCTGTTTGCTTAATGAAAAGCTACCTCAAAAAGTTTGATTCAAAGGCAAAAAACACAGGGCTACTCAACTGGAACTCCTCCAGCCACTGAGGAGAGAAAACTTTTCTCTCACATTTGAGATTTATTTTCCAGCTTTCTGCTCTACTCATAAAGAAATGAGCCATACAAAACTCTGTCCCTGTGGCTATTCTTAGCATGGAGTCAGCTGCGTGGCACATGCTTGGAGTAGAACAATTGAAGTTGAGGCATCTGCCAGGAAAAAGAGATGCCAAGTGCATTTAGGGCCCCAAATCTGGGGGAGCACACAGGGATTTAAACACAGCCTAAATAGGGAAAGCGCTTTGCATGACTTTTGACCCTTTGGGTGCAATCTTCTTAACTGTGCTCTCAAAGCTCATAAGCACCCAACCTCTGAGGCTCACTGGTTTCTGATGCAAAGTTGGGGTGTGGGGCAGAGACTTCCGCCTCAGTGGTCCTCAAGGTTGGTATTTTAGCCAGACAGCCAGTTAGGACCATATCAACGAGATGCTTCAGAGAGGGAAATGGAGGCTGTAGTACCATGAGGATGTATTCTTTCCTAGGTGCCCCAATTGCTTCTTGTTCTGTCTCCCAGAAAGCACCTTTTACCTTCTAGGTTCTGAAGTTGATTTCCTGACCTTGGGGAGGTAGCCCTTGAGTTTCTTTCTGTGCTGACTGTGAGGGGTGGGCTTAGAAGTAGGTCGATTCCCAACTCCAAGGCCCAAACTCTGTATCCAACCTCAGACCTGGGGATCTAAATCATCCTATAACCCTTCTAGTCCCTTCATCCAATTCTCTTAATTCAAAGAATGTTAAAAAAATGCATTCTATTAGGAAAATAGTCTGCAAAAGGGCAGGGCAGGGAAAGGGAAAGGGAAAGGGAAAGGGAAAGGGAAAGGGAAAGGGAACGGGAACGGGAACGGGAACGGGAAAGGGGGAGTTGTGCACAAAACTAGTTGGATTAGGAGAAATCTGCACCAACATACTTATGCATTCTTGTGGAAACATTTTTAAAAGCTGGTTATATTGTATTTTTCATGGATTCTCTATACATACATTTGGTTGTTATCATCACATTGTGTTTGCATGGAAATTTTAAAAATATATATCAATTGTTCACCACCCTGGTACTTTTTGACGATGGACGATTTCATTTCTATACATTAAATTTTGCAGCAGTTTGTTATTCTTAATTGCATTCCAGTGTAAATATTGAAATGCCAAATGCCAGTTTCAAAGGGGCATTCCCCCACAACTTGAGAGACAAGTCAATCCCTCTTCTTAAGGCAACCTCTCTTGTGAGATGTCTAAAAGCAAAGTATTTTCTCTCATGCATGTGCATTTGTGCAGATATATTGGGAAGATTAAACGATTGGAATTCAGATAATTTGTTGATTCAGATTTCCTTAATTCGGTGACAACAGGGCAAAAACCATATGCAATTTTAGTGCCCATGGGTTGTATAACATGTTCAATTTTATTTATTTTTTCTGTAGCCTGGCCACCCATTTGCATCCTCAAAAATGTCTCAGGATTTGTGTCATTCTGTGTCAAAATGTAGATCAAAGAATACTGTAGAGAATATTTGCCAGCTGGCTTTCTTTTTCTGGGAGCATGTGCATGAGAAAACGGACAATCTTGGAAACTGTCTCAGGGAAATATCTTCTGCAGAGCTTTGGCACAGCAATAAATTTGACATCAAAACATTTTTAATGATTTCCAACTAATCTAAAGTAAACAGCTTTAAATGGGTCCCTTGCTGCAAACCAAGATTAAAGGGGAAGCCAGATGTTTAGACTCTTTTGCAGACTGACACATTTGGACACTTTGCTCATTTGGACCTGGTGATGAAGATACATAGTTCTGCACATGCTTAGGGGAACTCTCTTCCTATGGCTTGACATCATCCAGAACTGAGCCCTGGCATCGGGAAATTCCTAGTGGATTTTTCTGGTTGAAACCTTCTCCTCTTTCATACACTTCACTCTTTCCCATCAGAGACCTGTGCATACCCCCCTCAAGAAAACACCTCCTCACCTGGTGGGACAGTGGGGATGTCTGGTCACCCCTTTTGCTGTTTTGGCTCCCCAGTCCCTTTTGTGCTGAATGTTCTGGCTTTTGCCTTGAGGATTCTTGTGCTGGTATATTCACATCCCCCTTGAGGAGCTGGTTTGCTTGGAAGTTGTTTTGCTTCTTGCTTGCTCTCTTCTTCTTTTTCACTCTGTACCCGCCGCAAAGCTTCAGCAGGAAGTAAATGCAACTTTTAGAAGAGTTGAGTAACAACTCAGAGCTGGCAATCAACAGCAGTGCTGAAGAAGGGTGTAGCAACTGAATAAGCAAGGTAAGGCTATAGATTTTCCCAGAAAGAAGAGCATGTAGTGACACTCAAGTTTGCAAAGGCGCAAGTGGCACTTTCCCTCTCTTCACACCTGTCCTGAATTAAAAGCTGCCTGTGAATTAAATGATAAATATCTACCACAAGAAAAAAAAAAAGTCTGCCTATCCACTGAAATCAGTTGCAGCTCTTATTAGAGAAAGTTGAGTCAGGGGGCTCTGTAGATGGCATTTTACTCCAGTGAAATGTACAAGCCACACTAAAAGTAACTTCTCTGTTACACTGGAGGGCATATGGAGATTTAGATACGTACTGTCAGCATTGATGAGCCTGCCTGTTAGCTTTCCTGGAAAAAGATGGAAAATGTGGCACATAAAATCACTATCCAATTAATCACTCTAGATTCAGGCTATGATTTTCTTAATTTAATTAATGAATTCAACTTTAAAGATTTGTAGAAAGATGTGATTCCTTTTCCATTGTTGGCTGCTAGATGAGTTTTTGTGCAAAGCTGGAAAGAGATAGACTCTCCAGTATTTATTAAATGTCTAACCTGCCCCATTAGCCACATGGGTCCCTGGATGGGTTACAGCAATTTGAATGATTGGTGGAGTTGTTAGAAAACTAGAATCTGGCTTTATTGGAGAAACTGAGCCAGCAAATTAGATATCTAAAAGACCATCAAGATATCAGCACTTATGAGGCTACTTGGTCACCACGGATCAACTTTATTGATCAATTATGAGATGGATTCTGCTCTGCCAACTACATGTGGCAAGATTTCCACAAGCTTTGTTCGCTCCAGGGGATTTGGAGAGCAAGATTCTCCAGGAGCTTTTTCACTTTGAGATTTCTGCTTTCTGGAAAACAATCTTTGCACTTCTTCAAAATCGATAGCAGTGGCAGCAACTGGTACTGGGACAGTGAGAGGGGGAACGGGCAAACACACACTGTGGCTGCAGCCCATCTCAGGGGTCCATCTTGGGGAGGATGCTCCCAGCTCCATGGCCCTCCTTCTTCTCATTCAACGCCTGCTCAGGGAAGCTCAAGCTAGGACTTCTGGCCAATGGAGTAAAGTGGATTGTTGTTTCTGGGATTAATTTATTAGCCTTCATAGTTATTTCTTTTGGGCTCCTTTGTATTTTTAATCTATGATTTTACTGTACTGTTGTATGGTAGGTATTTTTATATTTGTTTATTGTTGTATATTTATTTTGGAAATGCATTTGGAATTTCTTATAAAACGTAGTTTGAATCCCAGTGTATTTGGAAAGTATATTTGTTTTTATTGTGGGAAATGTAAACTGTAGAGAAAGTTGCATGGGCTATGGGTGCAGTATAGATGTTGAATAATAATAATAATAATAATAATAATAATAATAATAATAATAATAATAAGTTTCTGTACTGATTTGGTTTATATCTGTTTATTAGTAAACTACTTAGTTGCTATTTTAGTTTTAAAAAAAACCATGGGGGAGACTGCACACTCTGAACTTGTGTGTTGTTTGAACATTTGTAATTCAACATGCCAATATTTTCAAACAATTCCTTGTCATGTTTCATTCCATGCACTTAGGAGAGAGAAATTCACTTTACTGGGAGAGTAAAGTTGCAGAGACACGGAGATGCAGGAGTGTCCATCCCAGACTGCCATGCCATTGCCACTGGGAAAGAAAGAACAGAGGGCAGATTGCAGAGAGAAAGTAAAGGAGAAAGTTGTTCCTCTGTACCTCTCATCCAGATGAAGTGAGATTTGATGGAACCCATCAGATGTGTTACTGTTGAGCATGTAACATCTGGAGCAGCACATTGATGGCCCAGGCCACTAGAAGCACATGGTCTTGTGCTGTGACACTGGCACATGTCACTTGGAAGACTGAGAGGTTTGTGCTTCTCTTTGTGACACTCCGAATGAGTTTGTACAGAATGAGAAGTTGCCACATAATGAGGGAATTTCCTGATGGGTTATTTCATTTTCTTTCCCTTTCCCTTTCCCTTTCTCTTGTCACCCTGGAAACTGTCATTAAGAATACTCAAGGTGCAGCAAGGCTGTGCCATTGTTTGCTGTTACTTGCGAACCTGGCAAGTGTGGGTTGCAACCCAGAAACCATGGGCTGTTGTAAGGTTGTGAGTGGCTTGTCAAGCAGCCCAGCAACACACCCTCCCTGGTTTATATGCATTGTCCAATGACAATACCCCTTCAATGTGGCTACATTGTACCAAATTATTGTTGTGGAGATTATTATTAATGTTAATTTTAGTTCAATACCACTCAAGAGCAGAGCAGTGTACACCAAAATGGCAGCCGAGTTGGGAGTGAGAAGCTCCATGGGGAAATTCAGCCCTGGTGGCTTGTTGTATACAAACCTGTCCTTGTTCTCAGAAACTACCAGTCCCAGAATTCCTTGTGCATGGGCAGCAGGGAGGAACAGTTGATGGAAAGGCAAAGCATCATAATAATCACAGATATAATATGAGAGGCAGTGTGGTATAGTGGTTAAGTGCAGGATTAGGCCTGGGGAGATCTGGGTTCTACATCTGGGTGACTTTGGGCTGCTCACAGATCTCAACCGAACCTACCTCACAGGGTTGTTGTGAGAGTACAATTGAGAGGAAGCGAATTATGTATTCTATCCTGAGTTCCTTGAAAAGAAAAAAAGCAGGATATAAATATAATAAATAGATGTTGATCACAGGATTGGTGCTGTTGATTGGTTTGCTGGCCCAAAAGTGCATGTCTCATTTACAAAGTAATTCATTTTTAGTGAAGTTTGTGGATGATGATGTTGGTGGTGAGGATTGCCCCTTCCAGTGAAGTTTCCACAATCTGGAGACCATCAAAACATGTAGGTGTTCTTCTATGGTGCAAGAACACTTAAGCCACTGAGCTGAGATTGAATTTGGAGGAGAAATGAACTTTGGGGAGAAAATGCAGTGAAGGACAGTCAGGAAGAGGCAGTAAAGGTGAGTATTTACTCAGGTCTGTTCATAAACTGTCTACAGTTGGCTTGGTTCATTAGAATTTGAGTTCCTCTGCCACCCCTCCCCACAAAAACAAAACAACACAAAACAAAACAAAACAAAACAAAAAGAAAGCTCAGCAATCTTTCTAGGGCAGTCCTTCAGTCTACCTATACCATTCAACAAAAATAACAGGTTTTTAGTGCCTGTAAAACTGCAGGTGGGGACATGCTATGATCAGGAGAAAATTTAGAAAATGTCATGTTGGAATTTACAAAGAAACTTCCTATTCATGAATCGTTCATGTGTTCTGTCTCTTCTCCATGAAGAAGAGGCTTCCTCAACTTCTTCTGCCCCCTGTGAAGGAAGGTCTTTTGGTGGTGTTCTTAAAGGCTGCCAGTTTCTTTAAGGGTGTGAATTTGATCTTTTGGTTTGGTCACATGAGCCTTCAGTCAATGAAGGTGAGCATTTGGTCCCCAGAATGACCCATCTGTGTGTATCTCTTGCTTGGTAAATCATTCGGGGAACTCGTGCACCTCCTAGGTGGGGGCACAACGACCCCTGGTGGTATTGAGTGAGCACTTGGCCAGCTCATCTTTGACTCAGGGCTGATTCATTTCCTGCTTCCAGATGGGCCACTGTAACCCTTTCAGCAAAAATAACAAAGAGCTTTGTGGTATCGTGAACACTAAGAAAAGTATTACCGCATAATCTCTTGTGAACCGTAGGGTGCTTTATCAAATTCAATGCTTCCTGCAGCTGCAACTGCAACTCTGAATGCAGGGGGACAGAAAATCAGCCTGGGGACCACGTCCAACCTGTGTGGGGCTTCAATCTGGCCTTCCAAGCATCATCAGATGGCCATGCAGCCTTTCTCCTGACCACGATTCTTTGGGGTTTCCCGGGTTTTGTGCATTACTCATTTTAAACATCTGAAATGCCTTCTTAATGCTTTCAAGGGAACCTGAAGGCCAAGCAGCACAAAACCACAAGTGAATTTCTGGGCATTTTTATTTTCCTCTTAAAGCAGGCATTAAAACTCTGCTTTAGCTGGATGCAGCTGTGCTGGGGAAGAGCAGGTGACGGATATGGTTTTCCCAGTTCTAAATTTCCCCCTCCAGTGGGAGGGTCTCCAGGTCTAATAGCAGCTTGGGAAGGGTACTTATGAGACCAAGAATGTCGTTCAGGAGGAAACAGTGAATTCACCTTCCCACTCTTTTTATCGACACCCAAGACCCCATTTGCTGATTTTAAGGTTAAAAAAATGAAAATATTCGGATATCTGTTACCGATCTTGTGCCTCTCGTTCTCTTCAGCCTGGAAAAGAATCGTTGGTTTGTGCTTACTTCCTAGAACAGTAGTTTAGTTTTATGGGCAGGGGATTTACTCGTTGGGAGAATGACTGATTTGCATGTAGAAGCCCCTGGTTTGCTCCTTGGCATCTGCAGTTGGGGCAGAAAAAGGGCTGGGGTGGGGGGGGGGTCTGACTCCAAATAAACAAAACCCAGACCTGCTAAGTGGCAGGGAATTGGCTGCCTCCTCCAAGGAAACCTCAAAGAAGTTGGCCTGAGGCTACCTCAATGTGGGGCCAGCCCTTGCACCAGGGAAGGGCTGGACTTCTGGCTACTGTATTTAGCCCCCTTCTGGCTATTGATCACTAGGGCCCTCCCCACCTGGGCCTTATCCTGAAACTACTTTCCTTGTTGTTGTTCTTTTCTATGGTGGCCACCACCACTATGATGATGATGATCATGATCATCTTGCATTTATTGCTCAGTTTTTCTTCCTCTTCCAAGGAACCCATAGCAGCTTACAAAGTCCTCCTTCATTCCTTTTATCACTGCAACAACAACTCTGTGTGGTAGGCTAGGCTGAGAGTCTGTGACTGGCCTAGAGTCATCCAGTGGGCTTTGTGGCTGAATGGGGACCAGAACTCAGACCTCCGGAGTCCTAGCTCAGCACTCTTAATGACTAAGCACACTTAGGTGAGTATCCTCAAACTGGTGCCATTTGTGGCAACCCAACCAGTGTGTTTGTTGGAACTTGTTAGCAGGCACAATGAGGTTTGTATCTCATTGACGCAAGATGTATGAAGAGTCACACCTGGATGAGGTGACTCATCAGACTTGGCTGAAAAGGACAGAATATGTGTTGGTCATAAGCAGGAAAAAACAATCCAATGTTCTATTCAGGGTAATTCTTTATTAGACCCATTCAGAGATGTGTAAGCTTTAGGGTATCCTAGAACTCTTCCATGGGCAACATGGTACAATAATCAGAAAGTGGGCAACTGAGGAGAAAGAGACCACCTGAGCCCATCAGATCATGGGAGCCAATATGGTGCAGTGGTTTGAGACTTGCACCAGAACTTGGAGATCTAGATTCTAGTCCCTGCCCAACCACAAAAATCCTTGTGTGATTTTGGATCAGGCATTGAGTCTTAGCTGAATCTAGTTCGCAAGTTTGTTACCCAGATACAGTGGAGAAGAGAGAGGGCGTACAAGCCACCCTGGGGTCCTTGAAAGGGGAAAAAGGCTGGATGGAAATGTGATATTATTATTAATGATAATAATCAAGCAAAGTTTGATTTAAATGTCTGCATCTCTCCTCCTGCATTTTATCTTAAGTCTTTGACCCTGCAGTCTTCATGGCTTCACCTTGGTCAGTCTTTCCTTTCCTCCAGCTTTGCTACATAGCTGCTTTTGAACATCTTGCCTGGTAAGAGGTCTGCAGTCTCTAAAGGTTTGTTGTTCCCTTTGTGATAGCTCTAAAGCAGATATCTAATACAGATGTATTGGGCAGATGTTCTGAATAGTATTGTACAGGTAGCTCTAATGCAGAGGTAAAAGGGAGAGCTGTCCTCTGCAAAGCAGGAAAGAATATCCACCCTCAGTAATGGAATCCATAAGAATAATGTCCTGCACTCTGGGATGGTTGAGAAGAAATCCTGTCCTTTGTAACAGCCTTTCAAGTCCTTGAGGAATGTCTCCTATCTCCCCTCAGTCTTCTCTTCTCCATTCTAAACATACTCAGTCCTTCTGATCCCTCCTCATAGGACTTTCTTTCTAGTCCCCTGATCATCTTTGTTGCCTTTACCAGTTTGTCTGCATCTCGCTTAAACTGGGCTGCGCAGAACTTCACACCGTATTGAGTGGAGGTGAGGTCTCCACCTGCCCCCAGATGTCCCTGGGAAGCCCAAAAGAAGTGCCTGAAGGCAAGAAACAGTGAGAGATGCTGGGAATCTCCACCTCTAATTCCTTGTTGTAACTTTCAGTGGGAAGTGTCTGGGTTCACACAACTTGACAAGTTGCAGTTGCTTATAAACCAGAGGTGTCCTTTCCCCAACATCTGGGATTGAAAATATACTGCTTCTGCCTCTGGAAATCTGAGCTAGCCTTTCTGTTGTGCCCTTTAAATTTGATTGCAGGCTGTTCAGGATGCATAAAAATAAAAAATGGTACATGAACCTTGAGAATTAAAATATTAAAAAGGCACACAGCCACCAATATAGACACATCCTCCATGAATTTATTTCCCTTTTAAGAAATACCAGCTTAGAATGGAAGTACATCTATCAGAGATAATAGTATCTGTTCAAGCTTTTGTTTCTGATACCCTTCATCACATTTTGCCTGGCTTAAGAGATCTGAGGATGTTGGCTGCCTTTTTTCATTAAAACATCAAACAAACATTTCTCAATAGTTTTAAAAGAAAGCTATGAGTTCATGGCAACCATCCCCACAAAAAAGCCTGCAGACAACATTTATTGATGTACTACAGACCTTAAATCACGTTCACTCTTGCGCAGCAGTCCTCTGTGGAATGTGGAGAGGAGGCTGTCCGGGCTAGATTGGAGTTCTCCATGCGGAGGGTGGCTTGCTAGATCTGTCTGCTTTCAGAAAACGAGAGCAGACTTGTTGCTCTCACTTCTGAAAATGGGCATTTGCGGAAGATGATGAATGCAGGCAGATAAAAATGCCATGAGAGATTTAGAGGCGTCTTTCCATCTGGACACACCCTGGTCCATTTTAGCTCATTGAAGACAGGATTACATATTCTGTGCACTGGCTTTCCTCGACCCGTGGTCTTGATCTGAAACTCCCAGGCAGTTAGGCTAGGTAGGAGATGATGGGAGTTATAGTCCTACATGCCTGATGGTCAACAGTTTGAAGAGGGCTGTTCCATAGGGATACAAACAACACACAGAATTTGTCAAAAAGGGATGGAGGGAAGCTTTACAGTGAAAGTATAAATTAGCATGAAGATTCAAAAATAACATTTCACCCTGGGAACGTTTGTTAGTTTAGTTAAGGTATTTGCAACATCTAATGCTCAGGGGCCAAGCCCTCCTGACCTGTGCCCTCAAGGTGGATATTAAGCCAGGGGTGTCTTATGCTCTCTGAACACTTCCAGAGGAGTTAATAGACCCTACTGCTGGGTTCAGACACACTCCAAGTGTTCCCTGGTTTATAAACCACTATGGCTGTGAGCATGATCCAAGTCACCTGTTATTTTCCCAAGTTCCAAGACTGAAATGCGACCTCATAAGGAGGCGAAGTATGAAGAACTAGTTTCACAATGAAGCGGGCTCAGAGACCGACAGTGCGACAAAAAGGTAGTCATTCAAGTCATTTAGCAGCCTTGGCGCTTTCTCAAGAAGCCACAATTTCCATATGCCAAGCAGTTAAAGCAGACGCATTTGGCATGTAAGGGCTGTTGATCAGCGAAATGGTACATGCTCTGCATATGAAAGGTCCCAAATTCATTCTTCAGCATTTCAAGGTTGGTTGGGGAAGTCCCCTGACTGAAGTGCCAGTGGGTTGTGCCCAACCATCACAGAGCAGAGGTGCTGAACTTCTGGTGTGTGAACCAATTCTGGCCAGCCTGAAGTCCCGAATTAGCCCTTGGAAGTTCCACAGATGGCCCTCCTTGTTTCTGAAGCCCACCTACCCATCTTTGGTACTTTCCCAGCTTCTGGGCAATTTTTTCTCATCCTAAATGTTCAAAAAGTGTTTCCTGGGGCTTGATTCTGGGCAGTAAGAGCTGTAAGCACCAGTGTGCTGGCTGTTTACGTATTTTGAATCCATCTCTTTTGTCTTCCATCCCAGCCATCATTGGATTGCAACCCTTAAGAGTCTCCAAGGGCCAAAAAATAGTTTGACCCTCAGGGTGAAAGATGTTCAACACCCCTGGGGAGACAGTTCTGAGCTGGATGGACTGATTCATCTTCCTGCAAGCAGCTACTGCATTGCTGAAACATGTGGTGATTCAGTTTCCATATCCTAATTGCTCTTTTAGGCCATCACCCAAATCAGGCTGGGTGTCCCTTCTGACTGTGTCATGATCTCCCAAGTTCACAGAAGCTCCTGCTGGTGCAACCAAGTCTTTAGCCAGATTTCTCTGGGAATGGGTCCTCCGACCAAGACCGTCCGAGGCTCCCTCAAAGAATTGGGCAATGAAGTTGGCTCCAGATGTTTTTATGAGGTTCCCAGCCACAAAGACATAGAGCACAGGGTTGATGCTGCTGCTCAGGAACGCTAAAGCTGTGGCACCTGCTCGCCCACTTTTCCAGGCCTGCCCCAACCGTTCAGCCCTCCTCCCAGATACCATGTTTGATGCCACCTGGAGCATGTTGATGATGTGGTAAGGCATCCAGAGGACAGCAAAGCAGATCACAATGGCAACAATGAGCTTCTCGGTCCGAGCCCCTTTTCTTCTTCTCACTCCCCTGAGGCGTACCAAAATGGTGGAATAACACCCAACAATGATGGTGAATGGGATCATGAAGGCCACCACTGTCTCCAAGGTGAAATGCAGGATGGTCAAGCTTGGCCTGGAATGGCAAGGCTCACAAATGTAACGCCCCTGCAAAGGTTCCTTCACAACCTGGCGGAAAACAAAGGCTGGGATGGACAACAAGATGGCTGCCAGCCAAATCCCTGCCAGGATCTTGACCACCAGGTTCTTCTTGCGGATGGCTTGGGAGAAGTAGGGTTGGCTGACTGCAAGGCATCGGTCCACACTCATGAGGGTGATGATGAAGATGCTGGCAAACATGTTGATGCAGCAGAGGTAGTACACCCCTTTGCAAATTGCTAGGCTGAACATCCAGTTCTTGAAGATGAGAAAGAGGATGAAGAAGGGAGTAAGAAGCAGCACGACCCCATCAGCCACTGCCAGATTGAGAACCAGAAGGCAGGTGACTGACCGATGGCTTGGCTTCATCTTCCAGAGGATGCTCCAGATGACAAAGAGGTTCCCGGGCAACCCTATGAGGGCAGCCAAGAGTAGGAAGACAATGCCAGCAACACTGGAGGTGGAGGACGTCAGCAGAGTGCTGTTTCCCGAAGTGTGGATGCAATCATTGGTGGAGCTGTTGGGCAAAAGAGTGGGGGATGCCCTGTCAGGGAGGAAGACAAGAAGAACCTTGAAACAGAAGCTATGGCTGTCCCCCTCAACCCCTTGCCCGCATCAGCCCTCCCAGACCTTTGAGTGGAAAAATGAGAAATGTGTGGGATCAAGGCTGTGTCATAATTAGAGCAGACCCTCTAAAATCCATAGTCACAAAGCCCCATTGATTTCAGTGGACCTACAAGTACCTCTAAGACTACGCAACCAAATATGTTTTGCTCGTATCTTTCTCTTTGCATCCCCTTTTCTTCTTGTTCCCTTTCCTCACACACTGTGGAAATTTATCCTACAGTCCCTCGTGGGCAAACACCTAGGAAAGGGCTAATGTGAAGGCACATGCAATTGTTTTTATTTACTACTAGCAGTACCAGTACATCATTGTACAAGTACTAGTACAATGTAATAGTGCATCATTTCTGTTGCATAGTAACAAGAAGACAAAGCAAAACCTTCTTTCCAAGTGACTGGCACTCAGAAATGTGGTACAGTCAAGGACCTAGGGGAGAAGATTATCTAGGCATAGACAACTTCTGGTGAAATAGCATAGACTGCAAAATTAAGAGCTTCTGAGTTGGACTGAGTAGGACGTTTCCATACTCAAGGTCTGTATTGTTACAGTCTGCCTTGTTACAGGGTCAAGGCTACTCAATAGAAAGGTGAGGTTCACCTCTTCTTAATTAGACAATTTCAGGGATGGGTGATGAAGAGCAGAAGAAAAGAGCTAGGTGTATTCCTCAACTATCCTTTCATCTGTGGACTACTGGACACTTTCTTTACTTTGATCCATGCAATGTAATGGGAGCCATTGAGAATAAAGCTAGTCCCTCTCAATATGGACCCATCCTTAGTTCACTTAGTTGTGCTACATAGGAAAACAAAAGTGAAGCTGGAACACATCAGAACTCCACAAGCTGGTCATGAAGAAATAACCGTTCCTTCCTGTTACCGTTGAAGAATTGAAGTGCTCCAGTTCCATTTAACTGTCATAACTAATAACTCTGGATAGATCTTTTCATGAATTTCTCTCATCACCCTCAGCTTGGTTCACATGGCACAGCCAGCTCATAATGGATTATTTAACCCACAGTGAGTGAGGGTGCAGGGCAGATGTCTGCGGCCACCATTTGGATTGTGCATTGTGCCAAGTCATCCTACCCTGGTCATCAGAGGTTATTCAAGGGCTAAACAACCCTCATTGAACCCTTATTACAAAATGTGAATGTTGTTTTATCACTCAGTGACTGATGATGAGCTGGTTTGGATGACATGACACAACTTCAGATTGGCCTGATTGGGCCATGCATGATCAAATTGGATGTGGTGGCACTGAGGTCCACTGTTGGTTAAATAATCTACACTGTGCCAGCTGTGTTATGTGAAACGGGTCATTATGTCAAGCAGCTTGTTATTCTGTTGTTCCTAAACCACTCCTCCCCTTGGATTACCCCAATATGTACTTTTATGGAGAGGGAGAAAAGTCTCTCTGGCTACACTTTCTCGGCAACATGCATACTCTTATAAAGCTCATTCATGATCCATCATGCTCTTCTTTTTCTAAATCAAAATGTCCCATCATATTTTATCCCTTCCCAGTAAGGAAGATGCTCTTTCCCTCACTTCATTTCATTTGATCTTTTCTGCATCTCCCATAGATCCATTTAAGAGCATTATGCTAGTCCCAGGTTGACTTTCAGCCACTTTCCCAATAATGCTTGGAATTTTCCACTTGGATTTTCCAATGTGAGATCTGCCCTTCCTTCCTTCCTTCCTTCCTTCCTTCCTTCCTTCCTTCCTTCCTAATAAGCAACACAAAATCAAAGATTTGGCACTAGTAAATTTAATTTGAAATGATGATGATAAAAAATAAAACAATGCCAAAGCATTTGATTTGAGGAGTTTGGAAGGAAGGAAGGAAGGAAGGAAGGAAGGAAGGAAATATTTTTCTTACTATTTTGAGGGTCCATCTCATACATTTCAATGGGCTTCTTCTTTCCAAACCTGCAACTCACTGACAGTCGGTGCACTGAAACTCCTCCCCAGCCACCAACCTGGAGAGCTGTAATTACTTGACTTTCTAGTCCTGCATAATATTTTTCACCCTGATCAAAAGCAAAATCACTTACATGGGAGACACGTCTGGTTCAGGCTCTGGAAAACTTCTGCTGCCTCTGACCCTTCACATCCTTCACTGGGAAGCCAAGTGTTATCTCCCTTCACAATGCCGGAGCATTCTTACTATTACTACTTCTGCTGCTCTGCACGTTCAGACTGGAAGTTGGAATGAGGTTGAGCAATGTGGGTGAAAGGAGTGGCAGGCAAGGCGGGCTTTTGAGCACACACCCCCAGCTTCTCGGCTGGACCTCCAAGTTTCAACTTGCTGGGGGAAGGAGCACCACACCCAAAGATCTCCGTGCCAGGAAGATCCTGGCTTGCCTCTGTATTCCTTCCCTGTCTTTGGGCACAGCTGTTGTCCTCCTCTTCTTGTCTCATCCTTTCATTCACAGAAATCTCCATCTGCCTTGCTTATAAAGGAAGGGGCCATACCGCAGGAGCCTGGCTGCAGGGTGCTGATAAGAGCCCATCAGGCCTTGCAGAAGACAAATGCACCATCCAACCCATGTAGAGGGCACAGCAGGCAAAACAGCTCATCATTTGAAGTTTGAAGTGAGAGCAAGCAGCAGTTAAACCATCACAGGGTGTCCGACAAGGGTGTGTATCTCAAAATATCTTGGCTTGGAACAGGGGACAATATTTGGTTGTTGGAAAAAGTCCTTCCCCACAGCAACTGTGAGAATTGCAGCTCAGCTTGGAGAGAACAGCCTGAGAAGGATGCCAGAAGATACATGTTTCCTTGCTAATAATAATTTCAAAAATGTCAGTGCCATGGGTCTGTGTGCCCAGGGAATCTTGCTTTGGATTTCTGCAGCTGGCTTCTTGCAAATTGCTCTGATATCTACCCATCAGTGGGATAGCTAGGTGCTCCCCCAGCCTTGAGGGTCCCAAAAAAGCTCACCCCAGGGGCAGGAAGGGATGAAGGCAGTTGAACAAAACTTTATTTTTTTCCCGTAGCAAGGAAGTTGCTATGTTATGGCTGAGCTTAAAATGCTCAGGGGATCTCTTTCTAAATCAGGGCAGGCAAGCACTGAAGTGTGCATCTGTTGCTTCTAACAAGTCAGGAACACAGAAACATTTGTAAAGCAAGGAATGGGGGCTGGTACAGAAGAGAGACCTTCGCCTCTGAAACAGTACACAGGGAGGGCTAAAGCTCCAAGTCCAGGGTCAACAATCCGCTCCTTGCAGCTCTTCTAAAAATAGATAGTTCTCTGCTCTATCTTCCAGTTCCCTCTGCTGTGGAAAAGCCACTTCTTAACTTAATAAAAACACTGTATTTCGCCCACTGCTGAAAGCATAATTTCAAGGATGAAACATTCTGGCGCCTTGAGGTCGCCTTGAAGTCACTAAGTCACTCCCTCTGTCCTAGAAGTCATTCTTCCCGGGAAAAGTTCACTCTGAACCAGAGTTTCAGCTCAGGAACTGCTCTCTATTCAAGTTTGGAGATTTAGTATTGTTATTGTTGTTATTAATTTCTATGCTATTTAATAGCAAAACTCTCTCTCTCTCCACACATGCACAAACTGACAATCAAAGTGAGCACATGAACAGTGCTTTTCTCTAGTGGAGAAAGCATAACCAACTGAGAAAATCTTATAATGCTGCAGAAAGTTTTACCTGTTGGATTTCTGCCTGAGCTGGCTATAGAAACCAAATGCTTTCAAGTTTTTTCTCCCCAAACATATGACTGGATTCATTGGTCATATGAAACAGTATGAAAATATGAAAAATATACAACAGGGGTCTCAAACTCAACTTACCTGGGGGCCTCTGGAAGTAGAGTCTGGGTGAGGCTGGGCCGCATCAAGTATTCCACCACTGTGGTGGGGGTGGGCCGCTCATCCCACGTCGTTCCTGGAGGCCAAGCCGGGCACCGCTGGCACTTTGAAGGCCGCAGGACCCCTCCCCTGTGCCCCACCCATCCCGGCATGCAGCTTACAGGGAAAATTGCGCCCAGGGTAACGACTCACGCAGGTGCATGTGAGAAAAACGCGTGGGCCGCACTATCACTAAACTTTGATATCAAGTGGGGGCCACAAAATATCGTCCCACGGGCCACAATTGGCCCGTGGGCCGCAAGTTTGAGACCCCTGATATACAACATATTAAAATATGAAAATGATTGGAGAGGAGGTGGTGTTAGGGAGCAGCCTGTTTGGGCTGAAGCCCCAGATCTTTTGTTTGGAGTTCTGAAACTTTGGGACACCACCCACTCACCATCCTGCTATCTATTGGTGGGTTTATTGCTCCACTAAATGTTCTGGGACCCAGAATGTCTGTTGCATCAGATTCCCCCAGATGACCTCCCATACCGTCTTCCACCCCATACTGAGCTCCAGCTTGCATCTTCCTGGCCTGAGATTTTTTTCCCCTGAAATCAAATCGCCTCCTCTCCCCTGTTCCTTTTTATCAATTGAAGTGTTCCTAAGAGACAGGGTCCTCTAGCACAAATGCATGCACACACTCGCTCATGCATGCACGCACATGCCTGCACACACACAGAGAGAGTTTAGATCATATATACGATATACAAATGGACCTCATCCAGGAAGTCCTGAGCTGCCCTAGCAAAGTCTCGGCCTGAACATTGACATTTTCCAAAAAAAGGATGCTGGGCATTCTCATTACCAGGCCAGAGACAGCTTTAATTCTAATTTCTAATTCTATGAATTTTAAATTGGAATTTTAAAGTATAAAATGTGCCAGATCTGGCCACTGTAAGAGGTCAACCTGGTTGGTGTCCCTGCTGATGGAATTGATGGCTTTATTATTGCAATTGTTTATACTATCTATGGATTGCTATGTTTCTGTTTCTTTATATTTTAAACTGCCATCCAGAGAGCCATGTGGCTGTTGTGAAGATCTATACATTCTTGAAATAAATAAATAGATAAATAAATATGCATTAATTATAGAAAACAGTAGTTCTATATTTTAAAAATCCTGCATTATGTTGAGGGCAGGCCTGGCTTAATGCTTAGAAAGGTGGACCAAGACTTGGGATGCCCAAGTTGTTGTTGTTGTTGTTATAACATTTCTATGCCGCCCC